ATGGGTAATTTTTTTTCATGGACACAATATATATATAATATATATATTGTGTCCATGAAAAAAAATTACCCATTTTTGTTTTCTTATTTGGTGAGAAGTTAAGCTTGGTGGGAAATCAGATATATTGGGTTAGATTGACACCCCATGACAATGCAGTGAATGAATATTCCTTGCATTGTGGCCTACCATTTGTCACATGGGATGATAAAATACAGAAAAGTTGCAATACCTGTGTAATAATTGTAATCATGATTGGCAAGTTTGTTCTTTTAAATAGCTTTATTAAAATTATCAAGGTATTGCTTACCCTCCTCTCAATTTGCATTCACTCTTAATAATTTTGGTATATCATGACCTCCTGAAGGAGACAAGCACTGCCAATTCAAGACAACTTGAGCATAGGTAATTTACCAAGAGGAAACTATTCCCTTGCTTATTCTTATTTTTCTGGATCACTTGGGGGAACAGCTCCTATATTCTCCAGTGGAAAACATCCAGCGTGTGGCAGCCGGCGTACTGTGTGAGTTGGCTCAGGACAAAGAGGCAGCTGATGCCATTGATGCAGAAGGTGCCTCAGCACCTTTGATGGAGCTTCTGCATTCCAGGAATGAGGGCACAGGTAAGGATTGTAGACACATATCCATGTATAATTCTTTTATCACCACAGTTTAATTTAATCAAAATTCATTGGGTTTGCAGTATGAACCTTCCCACAGTACCCCAGGGAAGCTTCTTATATTTTCATACATTTCCAGGATTGAGAAAAGTCTTCGAGCAAATGTTAAAAGAGTAAAATTATGTGAAAGGGAAGGTGGGAGAATAATATAGCGTCTGGCTATTTAATCTGTTTTAAAGGAAAGAGATTGCTTATATTGTAATTGAATCATTTGGTAGTAACAGAATATCACCATCTAGGAATAAGATTGTAACTTAGTTCTAATTAATTTAGGAATCAAATATAGTTCTCCTTTATATATTCTTTTGTTAATGTTGGAACCAAGATATAATTATTTTTATTACAGCAGAGGAATTAATTATAGAAGAATTGACTCCAAAAGCTCATTATCATAGTAATATTAAAGCTCTGGATAGTTTCCATTACCAGGGATTCACTGATGCACATCCTCCAATACAAGAGTATTCTAACATACAACTCTTCTCTTAAAACCTAGAATGTGATATAGGCCAGAAATAATTTTACTGTAAAGCTGGCCTCTGAAATGCTTGCAGAAATGCAAAACTTGTTTTATTATCGGAAATTACTGGATTTTGTTATAGTGGGGGGAAGAAAACTGGGAAATCAAGGCCATTCACATATTTCTCAAGGTACTCAATGCAACAGCTGAGCAAGGGCAAGCTTTTTTTTTAGCTAGCGGGCTAAAGGTCCCTTTCTTGCATCTCCAGCTACATATGCAGCTGCTGTGCTGTTCCGCATCTCTGAAGACAAGAACCCAGACTATCGGAAACGTGTCTCTGTGGAACTCACCAACTCACTCTTTAAACATGACCCTGCTGCTTGGGAAGCTGTGAGTTTTTCTGTTATTTAAATAGAAAGGGATTAGTGTACCTGTTCTAAGCCTCTGGATTTAACTTCCGTGTAAGTCCCAAAACCAAGAATGACACATGGCAATTCTTCCAAGCTGAGGTTCCCCCCACCCCGCCCGACTGAGGACTATCTGTATACTTTTGTGAACTGCTAGGGAGGACCTGTCTTTGTCCTCTTTCTCTCACATATGATATCTGGGCTGAGTTGGCCTTTAACTTCTTTGGAATGCAGCCCCTCCCCTCCTGGAAATCTACCCCCTTGCCACTGTCACCATCCATTTCACTTCAAAGGCAGAGCTTTGGAAATATTTGGGAAGTCAGACATTTCCAGATGATTTCAAACATGCCTTTTCAGTTCTGAGAGTAAAATCTTTTTGATTTTGTCTGTCACTATCTTCATGTCTATACCTTTTTGGTACTAAAAAGGTTGAAAGAAGGATCATAATTCTGTCAAAGCAGTTTATTCCTTGATTATAAGAGAATGGCCGTAATTAGAAAGGCGACATGTGTGTCCTTACAAGAACTGCAGATATTTGGAATTCTGTCTAAAATAATCCCGTGACAGAAAATTTCAGTCTTGGCATATTTGAAGTCATTTGCAAATCTTCCAACAAAAAACAAAATTTGTGGACACGATTGCAAATTTAATTTAAATTGCATGGTATGCGATTTAAAGTCCACCTGAATCACTGTTGACTGATAGCTCAACTTTCTTTAAAATAATGACTCTTTAACAAAGTGCTGGGGAAAACCATTTTAAGCCTTTATCTCATTGGAAGCAAATACATATCACACAAAATTACAATCTGACTCTGTTTTTCATTAAATGCAGTACTACTACTAGTAGCAGTGGTGTGAATGTTGTAACACCTTTACAAATTTTGTCAATGGATGGATGATAACTAAGGGAGAACTTGAGGGGAAAAAAATGCCCTACCCTCATTTATTCATTCCTGTGCCAGTATCACTCCTGGGAGAGTTACCAAAGGCTATTGGGATGAGCTAATTATGGATAAAAGAAGACTTAAGCCTTCTGTTATGTATCCTTGCCTAAGTAAGCTTAGTATCTCAATCATTGGCTCTGGAGGTAGGTTTAACCATTTTCCATGGATGGATCATTCCAGAAATTAGCAGACTAGATGTCTCGAGGCTCTCTTGGTCCAACATTTGGGATTGCTTGGCTGAGTTCTGAAATTTTTGCTATCCTACTTACAGGCAATCAGTTAATTAGATAATTAAGTTGCCATGGGAAACCAGAGCTCAGTTGCATAGGCAGCGTCCTTCAGTAGTGACATCTTATGGCAGGTTTGATTTAACTTGCAGCTGTTACAAGTTCTGTCTTTGTTCTGAGAACAGTTGGGTTTCTTTCCACAGGCCCAAAGTATGATACCTATTCACGAACCATATGCAGATGGTGAGTATAGAGGGCTGGTGGTTTCAGGGGAGAGGGGGAAATAATGATACATAACCAGACTGCTTTGATAAAATTCCTATTCTTAGGCTTAGCTATTGTTTCTTTTCTGAAGCTGCTCATGGAAACATATACGGTAGTTAAACAGGCTGTGTGTGGAACATGTATGATAATTAAATTAAAAAGCTGAAGCATATTCCATGTATTTTATAAGAATGTTTTAAATTCCTTTTTCTCAAACCAAGCGGGCTAAATCGTTTGAGGTCGTATTCTGAACATTCCAGATTGTTTTAATTATTTGGGGACAGATAGCATGCAATGGAAGGTTATGCTCTGGAGCAGGCATCGCCAACTTGTTGCAGTTCTCATAAATTGGAACTCCAATTCTCAGTATGGCAGGGGCATTCTGAATGATATATAATGATACAGCCTGAGCAAATCTGAAAAGGTTCATTTTGGGAAATTCTGGAGTGATTCTGCTTTAGAAAACCATTTTATTTTCATTTTACTGCTTATCTTGCCAAATATGAGCATTATATCCCTCTTCTTTTTACCTTTCAATAGAATTGGATGGAGGATATCGTGGCATGTATTCTGGGGAAATCCCTATGGACGCCATGGACATGGATGGAGACTACCCCATGGATACATACAGCGATGGTGTGCGAGCACCTTACCCAGACCACATGCTGGCCTAATATGTCACTAGGACATGTTGGGCAAGACTCAAGGTAAAAGCTTCTAGTTTAGTGCATTTGGGAATTGGCCAGTTAATGGAAATGAAAGATGAAATGAAAAAAAAAGATAAAATGGACATTTTCATTCTTTATAACTAAACATCCTTCATACTTTCATTGACCTACAGAACATATCACTGCTTCCCATTCCATGGAAAATAGATTTCTGTCTTGACTTTCTTTAGTTTAAAAAAAAAAAAATCTCAATAGTGATTACTCAGCAAATGAAGGACAACTTGTGGATCTAAACAAAATAGAAGTCGTGCAGGTTTATCCCTGACAGAACTCGACTGTTGAGTTTGATTAGACCAAATATGGCTCCTTTTCAGTTTTCTGCATCTGACAATCTGCAACCATATTGCTCATGATTTTCTGAAACAAGCTGGTAAAATTGATGGGGAAAATATGACATTTTGAAATGGAACCTCGATTTTTAATGCTTATAAATGTCTTTTGCGTGTTCTATTAAATATTATTTCTCCTTTTTGTTATTAATGAGTTGCTCCTAGTAGCTGTGAGTCCTTCAGGCTGGTTTCCACTTCTGGGTAGAATGAGAAAAAACAACATATATGCCAATGCATGAAGTATAGAAACTAACCAGTGCTTTAAAAAATGGGGTAGAGGGTACTCTTTGTTACTGAGCATACAGACTGGCTGCATTGTTAAGCTCATGCTAAAATAAATATATAATTTCTATTCATCTGAAAAGGCGGAGATTGGAGCATTTCCAGTCCTGTCTTTTACATTATACAATTCTCACCGTTCTCTGCCAACATAACAAATATGGCCCGTTATATTTGGGTGGCCTGAGATTGGAAAAGTCAGAAGTGGCTGTTTTTTTTTGCAAGGACCAAGCAGTCCCCCGTATTGGGACCATAAAAGTAAGACAGTGCTTGTTAGACGGACAGTGGTCTGATCTGGTGCATTCAAAGCAGCTTCCTCCATCCTAAAGGGAAATCTTGCTTTCCTGTATATGGTGTAAATCTAATTTTCCCTTCCTTTGTTTTTCTTAATCAGCAGATGTTTCCTTAACACAGAAGAGGGCAGCCCCAGTGCTCAAGTTCTGGGCGTTCAGGAGACAGAAGTGCCTGAGAAAGATGATGACAAATTTCTTCCTTTCCCTTTGAGGCGGTTTTATTTTCATGTTTCCCTCCTGTGGGTTTATGGGAGCGATTCCCAGTCCACAATTTGTGCTGCAGCTAACAACCTTATAATATTAGCAGTCAGCTCTTCTTTCTGCTCTTTCCCGCAATATTATTTTTTAACAAGCAAATTGGAGCACTATCCTTAAACTGCCATGGGATCCTGATAAGTACTTTTCAACCTATACACTAAAACTAACATGAACACTGATAATACAATGTAAGAGGAAAAAATGCATACACAGATTGTGTGTTTGTGCAGAGTTTTTCATTTGATAGGATTTTATTTGCCTCTTTGTATTTTTAACACAAATTAGAACTAAATAAAACGAAGAGAAAATGAGAATATTTCTATTCTATCCCTCTCATTTTTTTTACCTATTTAACTTTTAAAAATAAAACTATCAGCCATTGGGTGTAAATTCACCAAGAAATAAACAGCTTTGCATTTGTCCAGGTTTTTTTTTTTTTCATTTTTTAATACAACAGGTACATGTTTGGATTTGGGACCTCAACCCAATCAGATTTTTAATCTGCCATATAAATCGGAATAACTAAAACAAATTAGATAAACTCTCTTCCTGCTCACCAGACCACTTTTTTCATATTTTTAATCCAATTTCCCTTTTTGTTCCCTCCCTTTCTCACAATCTTCCTGGTGATTGGCATGCTCTCTTCCTCCTCCTATTCCCGTGCTCCTTCTAATGCATTTTTAAAAGCAGCTGTCAATGTGATAGCTTGAGGCTTCCACTGGAAAAGGGATCGATGTAGCTGCAATTATATTTTAGAACATTTTATTATTATTTCTCTAAGGGATTTTTTTTGTATAGACCAAAGCTAAAAAAAAAACCAACAAAAACAAATAAAATTTTAAACCTAAACTTGCAATGCAAATGAACTACTTTTTTGCGTTTACCTAGTGAAATTTTTTTGAAGGGGGGGAAGGAAGATGTGTAGAGGGAAAGGATTCTGAAAAATGTATCTTCAAATTAGATTATACACATTTAAACTAAGGGAAAAGGAAGGATATTTTTCCTTTACCCAGTTTTCTTGGAAGTGGTGGGCCTTGAGAGAGAACATCGGGTGGGTTTGTGATGCTTAAGACCAAAGGGTTAAAAGTTTGAATTGGTGTGTTCAAGTTTAATTAGAGAGGCTGAAAAAGTGAGAGTACACAATTTCCTAAGGCTGATCTGGACTGCAGATGGGAGAAGGAAGAAGAGAATAAAAAAGAAAGTATACATTCCTGTTCAGATTTCTTTGAATTCTGTACTTTGATATTTCAAAAACAGCTTTTATTGAAGTTGTGGTGCTACGCAGCTTTCTACAATGCATTGAAGGCCTCCAGCATGTATTTGACTGAACCTTTGTACTGAAGACAAAGTTCAAGATCTTGGAAATCTTTCTATCATGCGGATATACATCCGCATAGGGGAAAGGCTATACCTGGCTGAATGTTGCAGCAGTTAATGTCTGTTGAACATTAACTGGTATACTGATATGTTGCCAACATGTGAAATCACATATTTGCCCTTGAAGTCATGTGTGGAAGCTGCCATGTGATTAGCTAATCCTATAGCAGGAGATGGCTACTTTATGCTATCATAATCCTTTCAACTTCGATTCCCATCATCAGTAACTACCATGAGGATGACGAATGGCAAAAGACAATCCTTGACTTATGGCAGGTTGCTTAACTGTTTGAAATTACGACAAGCTCACAGCAGGTGTTTTATGGCTTGTAAAGAACTTCTGGCCCTCATAAAATGTCTCCTTCCGCCAATCTCTCAGGGTCATGTGACTGCATTTCAGGTGCTTGGCAACTGACTTGCCTTTACAATGGGCAAAAATTGCCCAATCCAAAAAATGGGTTTTCATTTAAAACTGCACTGTTTGATTGATTGGTGAAAATTTAACAACCATAGTGATTCACTTAACAACCATTGCAAAAATGTCATAAAACCAGGTCTGATCGCATGGGTACCTTGACTTATGACTGTAATGACTTATAACTGTAAATCTGATCCCAACTGCAATCATAAATCAAGGAGTACTTGTATAGTAACTGAAGAGCACTCTTATGGGACGTGATCCACATTTTCCACTCTCTTAATCCCTAAAGTAGTGGGAGGGTAGTTATAGCTCCAATACGTTTTTGCAGCCCTCAGAGTCTCATGATCATAAATGCTCAAAACCAACAGCATTATTTCCTCTTATTTTGAGGTGGGAAACAAAGACGACAGTAGAAGACACACACACACATACACACACATGGAATACCACTAACGCATCATCACGAAATCTCCAGAACCATAAAGCCATACTTGAAATTTGGCACATGTTCCTCTTGGCTTCTAGGTGCTCACGAAGAAAGAATTTTTCAAAATGACCATCAGAGCATTAGTATTTTGTATATTATTATTAACACGCTCTGATGCTAAGGAGTTCTACTCTCCTTCCCCACCTGAAAAGAAATCTGCTCCAAATGCAAAACACCAGCAGAGGAGAGGAGTTTCAGTTTTAGTTTCACAACACCAAGCAGCTTTAGTACAGAACAGTTAAGCTAAGCCACATCCAGGCTCCTTGCTGTCTCCTTGCTCACACAGCAAATACTGTTTCACTTTCTAAACAGCCCTCAGTTCTCTCAGACACTGACAGGACGTAGCCAGATGAATACCGTTGGATGCTGGTAGGCAGAGGCAGAATGTATTTTTCCTTATTTTCCTCTCCAAAAATTAAGCCCAACCACATAGTTTCATAGCAAAGCACGGGTATCTATCTAGTTACAGATAAAACTTCTCCCAAAGCCCAGTCGGATGTCATGTCATAGGCCCTAGCCATTCTGTAACTCTTATCCCCCCCAAAATTAATAGACATCCTAGTTATCAAATAATTTCTGCCTCTTCTATGCTGCAGGAACATGTGACTGTAATCTGTATATATATCTATACTCCAGAATTCTGCATCTATTGAGGTGTGCCACTTACATGTAAATGCTACAAAATATGTATCAGAGATGAAACTATGTGGATAAAGTTCTTTTATATAACTTTCTTTGAAATTTATCTCTCCTCCATAAACAGTAACCTATCATGTCCTATATATACTTCTAAAATCTGTATCAGGACTTCTGCTTTGGTTCCTGATACCAAACAAGTTATTCTTAACATTCCCTCTTGAGCAGACATCTTGTCTTCTAATGACATGAAAACATTGAGAGTAGAGAAAATGTTAGCAAGTTTGTGACAAGTGATAGATTTGTACATTAAAAATCCCAGTGAATGTGCCTTGTATAGGAGTCACAGTGTATAAAAACAATCTCCTGGGTTAATTCTGCTTGTTGCAGAAACACTCTGAAATATCAGTTTCCTACAGCACATGCAATTATTTAAAACAAACTTTTCCGACATGGTACCTTCCAGATATTTGAGACTGAAATTCATAACCTCCATTGTCAAGCAATGGTGGCTGAAAATTCTGATTTTTTTCTACCCCTCATCCTATATGGACTATGTAAACTATAGAATTAATAAGATGAAACAGCTTTTTTCATCTAATGATATATACAAACTTTCTCTGAAGTAATGGAATAGGATAGCAATTTTTTTCTCTTCCTCCAGATTCTTTGCTTTTCTCTACATTTAGCTCACCTCCTAGTTTTACATAGGCCAAAAGTTCTGTAATTGTTTTCTAGCAAAGAGAAAGTATCAAACATCAACATAAGCAGTTTCAGTGTTGATACTGTACTACTAAATGACCTTGTTCTCTTGGAATAAAGTTTAGGGAAGTAGACCTTTATACTTTTCCTCAGGTTTTTATTCCCCACCCTCACCCGTGAGATTCATTCTTTGGGTCTACTGGAGCAAATTGTATTTTTAATACCATCCCACAAGCCACTAATCTTTCTAGAATAACAAATGAAAGGAATCGGGATCAAAGGGATCTAGGAAGCAAAGTTGCTTCTGTATAAACAATGCCATCCAATGTCAAGCCACTTACTTTCTCATGCCAGCTTACTGGTGTGAATTAAATTTGATTTTCCAGAATTAGACATGGTATAATCAAAAGTAGGAGGAGAATAAGGAGAGTAAGATGGATAATAGAGTAAAGGGAAGATTAGAAGAACTTCACAGTTTTCCTTTCCAGCTACGGAAAATCTACTTAAAAGAGATCATAATGCTGACTGGGGTCTTTTCTTTATTTCTGTCTATCATGCTCCACCAGTTGCAATTTTAATGAAAACAAGAAGAAGCAACACAGTAGATCTGAAAGCAATATTTTCCTCAGTTCTTTTGTCTACCAAAGATCATGCTGACATTCTGGCTGTAGAATTATTAAAACCAACAGTTGGCTTCTACTTTTATGACTGCCTGGAAAGATAAATGCACAAATGATAATTGTTAGATGGTCAGATAAGATTTTGGAGGGGAATACTTTTGTGTTATTCTTGGCTTCTCTTTGATATATAAAATCTAACCAGTGATTGTACACAGAGAGGTTTACAAAATACTAATCCTAAATCTCAATTACATCACAATATTGTTACATTCAAGTTAGCTTGCTGTCACTGGTTTGTGACTAACTTTACTGAAAATCCACCCTTTGAGATATTTGATAGAAAATGGGAGGCTTCATTTATTTACAATTTGCTTGGTTATAACCAACCTCAGTTGAAAATGACAGATCTCAAAGTTGCGACTATGTCAGCAATGAGGGTGCTCCCTCAGTGTAGCAGGGGTTTAGAGTTTTGTTTGTTTTTTAGAATCAGTGGCTTTTTCTTTAGCAGAATTTTCTTTGCCCAAGGTAAATATGCTTATTACTTCAAATTATAAGACCTAAAACATCTGTATTCACCTGTATTCACCTTCAGTGTAGATTTCAGCTTATGTTAGGTTATGCTTCTGTTACTGATGGGCAATGTTTTGTACCCCAATATCTACATGCAAAATAATTAATAATAATAATAATAATAATAATAATAATAATAATAATAATAATAATTAATAGCTCCCTTTTCCATACTACCAATAATGAGCTGATATGAGAAATTTGAATAATCTGGAACAGAGGTGTCAAATTCATGTCATCACGGCGGCATCACGTGACATATCAGGACCTTTTTTCCCTTCACTAAACCAGGCATGGGCGTGGCCAACGTGTGATACATGTGGCCCATGGAAGTTCTATTTATGGAAATAACCCACAAATTTGTAAAAATAGGAAAATACAAATGTTAGTTTTACAATTATGTGATATGTAATATGAACAGGAAAGTGGAGAATATGAATTAAGATTATTGCAATGGTAGAAATGTTTTGGGAATATAATTTTAATTGTATTGCTTTGAATATCATAATATTCCACTTTTAGTGTATGGTGGGTGATTCAACACTAAGGTTGTTTTTATGTAATGGAACTTTTTCATAGTTCAACACCTCTATTTAATTTTCTTCAGATGTGTTAGATGACATATCCTATAATTCTTTAATAGTTTATTTTAGATATGACTAGGTGGGGTAAATTGTCCTTTCAAAGCCTTTGGATTAGCTATTAAATGAAACAAATGAAAGCTTTTGCTCATTAAATCAAGAAATTTCTTACATTTTAAAGGAAATATTTTGCCTGTACATACTTATTTGACAATCCAGTTTTGTTTTATAAGTGCAGGCAAAAAAAGTTCCTACATGCATCAATAACTCAGGATGACTATATGAACTGTCTACTGAACAACATTGTGTCTATAATTGTTGGAAAATTTTGCGTATTGTGACTGTCTCTTGATGAAATATCTATTAGTGAAATTCATGTTCATGCATCATTGCCATTAGCTGAAGAGGGTGCAATGCAAATGAATTGTGTGCTAGCACTATAATTTGTGAAAGAACATGCTACAGTTATTTTGCTAAAAGCTATGTCTCATCAAGAGAGGGTATCTCCATCAGTTCTTCTGGGGAAAACCATGGTTCCCAGTAGTCCAAAGAATTTCTCAGCCTTGGTCATTTTAAAACACGTGGATTTCAACTCCCAGAAATCCTCAGCCAGTGTGCTGACTGTTGAATTCTGGGAATTGAAGTTCACTTATCATAGAGAAGCTAAGGTTGAGAAACATTATCATTGACATACACTGGAGCTGATAACTTACCCTGTGCATTCTGTTCCCCATATCTCTGGCAGAGATATGGCCTCATCTATTAATTCTTCAACATTCTCTGAAGTCCCCATTGTGGCATAGCTTTGCTGTAATTGGCTGTCTATAACTTGATTCTTGAGACTTCTGCATTGCAAAATCAAGGGGTTGTGTTGAGGAGCAAGAAGGCATTATGCCAAGTTCTCCCATAAACCTCAGATTAGTCCTGATTTCATTAGCAGCTGCATGAAACAATTGGGAGATAACATATTTTTTACAAATTGTAATATTCCTGTAACATAATGTATTCTATAAACATGACAGATCAGCAAGAATGTACAGGCCTATTTGTTGACTTTCCCACTGCTTGTCCTGACAGTAGTAATTTATAGCTTTATCCAGAACTGTCCTGTGTTTGCATCAGTATGTTTCTCTGCCTCTTGTTCTAACTTGACCTGCCAGTTATTACCTTCATGTTCTCACCTGAGCAACAGGTCTTGTCAGTTTCATTTACTCAGGTGGTAGCAAGAGAAATAATTATTTTTGATGCCATCAGCAATATGTTATCTTGGCTGAATCAAGATGCTTCCAGCTTCTGTGCAAAATATGTTGAAAAGGAAAGTTCTAACATTCCTGGATCTGGCTCAGCCATCTTGCTGTTTCTATTTCTGCTCCTGTGGACAGACTGGAAATTAAATGTTGCTGGAAGAATCCTTTGAGCTATGTATTCATTTTCTACTTATTCGAATGTATTATTCCTATAATTTACGAATCTCTGTTTGCAAATACCATATATAACCTAACTATTTGTATTATTTTTCTTCCTTAGGTGAAACTGAAATACAACTTCTATTTTACCTTTTTATAAGCATAATCTTTCGTTTTAGTTTTTTCCCCTTTTTTATTAACGGTCACTGGTCTATAAAACAGGATTGGTCATTGTATATTTAAGCTAGATTCAGCTATTATGTAAAATTTGGCATGTGAAATATAGCTATCCATCACTTTTCAAAGCATTGTTCAAACTTGTCAAGGTAATACAGTCACATAATGGAGGAGCCTGAGTTTCCATCTCTGAATTAGGAAACAGCTCCATTATTTCAGAATTTCGACTGTGGTATGAATTCTAATATAACTTCTTACTTATGCTGCAGCGTATTGTTTCGATAATGTCCTTTTCCAGTTATGTTTTGCTTTACTAACCGAATAGATATTTGATTCAATGTACTCATTTGCTGTGAGATTTGTTCCAATAAGTGTGATATTTTTACTATCTGGTAGGTGAGCCTTTCTCAACCTGGTGCCCTTGGTATATGTGGGATGTCAAATCTCATAATCATTAACACAGGCCCCGTCCTTGGTGTTTGGGAATGATGGGAATTGCAGTCCAACCCCTCTGGTGAGTACCAAGATGGGAAGGCTTCTGTAAATCCTGACACATGAAATTATTGTTATGGTTTTTTTTTTGTTTTACTTGAGAAGTCTTAGTATTGGATTCACCACTAGTTGACACTGGTAGTATAGAGGTACAGGAAGCCCTTAAATTACAACCATTCATTTAATGACCATTTGAAGTTACAATGACATTGAAAAAAAGTGACTTATAATTGTCCTTGCCTATGACTGTTACAGCATCCCTATGGTCATGTGATCAAAATTTGGTTGCTTAGCAACCTACATGCACTTATGACAGATGTGGTGTCCCAGGATCATGTGATCACCATTTGTGACCTTCCAGCAAAGGTCAACAGTTAGATTTGTATAATAATCACAGCAAAAAAGTTGTAAAATTGGGGGTGAATCAATTCTGCTTAGCAACAGAAGTTCCAATTGTAATTATGGTTGTAAGTTGAGGACTATCTGTATATTGGTTTTTGAGATATAATCTTGTAATGGATGCTCTTAAATTCCTTGAGAAAGGCAAAAAAAAAAAGGGAGGGGGACAAATTTTCTCTGAAATATTGGTTCATGCATAGCATGCTGTTGCCACACAGTGGCTGTTTTGTAACATAACAGTAAAAAATATATCAAATTCTGGAGTCTGAGCTTTGGAAGTTTTTGAAAAGGATCTAAGCAGCATTACACCGGGTGAGCAACTGAGTTCCAGCCCATTTAGGCATTGTAAGATAAGTTGGAGAAAAATGTATAGGAGCACAGCTTATTCGGACCCAATTGGGATCTAAGTGACTTAAATCACAAAGAATGTAATTAATCAATGAGTAAGAGTCCTTCCACACAAAACTCTTTCCATAACCAATCTCTGCAAAGGATTTTCGAGCCAGCAATTATGATGATCAATCAATTGTTATCTTTCCTGGTGACCTATGGAGGATGAGAAGAAGCAGAAAGTACCATAAATTCATTCAACTGTCCAATAAGAGAAGGCAGAAATTGGCATTCAGCTACTGCCCTCTGACTATGTCATAGCAGCTTCTGGAAAACCATCCTTCTTGCCCATGACTCCATCCAGAAAGAAATAAAAATAACTTCTTGTTTCTGATAAATGTGGTATTCACTTGGCAAATTTATGAACTTTCTGATCATCAAGACTTCACATTTCTTGCCAATAAATTCTCATTGAAAGTTGTGATGAGGGCAGGACACTGCAGTGTTGCAACTGGAAACTTTTTCAACAGCTTCAGCACACCACCATTATCTATTGCTTGGAGAGATGCAGAGAGAGAAATGACTCACTTAAGACCAAAGGCCAGGAGATGGGATAAAGCAAAATTTTACATAGACTGCTTATATAACCACGGAAAATCAAGCCAGTTTCTTACCAAATCGTGAAATTTGCTACAAGAATATGACTGAATTTGTTCCTAAGGTGTTTGTAAAAACCTACTGGAGTACTCCATGGAAGATGGGGTAAGTCAAGAGAACCCGAAAATGAGAAAACAGTACATATCATTCTGCAGAACCCAGGAGCATCACAGATTTAAAAATATGGCTTGTCAATGCCAAAAGCTGTGCTCTTACTGAACCAAAATAAACCTTAAATGTGAAGGTGGAAGTTGGCCTCCAATCCATTTTAATTTTGGCCTGTATTGTTTTTTGTAATAAATGCACCAGCAAGAAGCCTGAAATTTTATTCCAATCAGAATGGAATAATGAGAGAGAGTGGGATTCAGCTGAATACTCAACAGTGTTCATCTTTGTTTACTAATTTTCTATTTTGGTTCTGATTCAGCAGTAGTTTTTGTTTTAACTTGGATACTAGTTTAGACAGAAACATATCTTAAGTATGAGCCAGCACTGTGTTGTTGCTGCCAAAAAATAATAATAATGCAGTCCATTAGGTTGCACAGAGGAATAGATTCAGGATCATATGAAGTGGCAGCACCATTTTATACTGCACTGGTAAGACCACACTTTAAATACTGCATCCAATTTTGGTCACCATGATATGAAAAGATGTTAAGAATCTAGAAAGAGTGCAGAGAATAGCAGAAAAATGATCTACAGCAGGGGTGTCAAATTCCCGTTGCCATAGCAGCATCACATGACATATTGGGACTTTCCCCCCATTTCCTAAACCCAGTGTGGGCATGGCCATATCCATGGACATAGGATCTCCTATTGAGCAGAGGGTTGGCCTAGCCTCTATGGATGGCTTCTACTTAAAAGATAGTATATATCAGAGCTGTCAAACCCTGCAGATTGGATGCGTCACATACTGGTCATACCTATGCCCAGTTTAGCGAAGGAGGAAAAAGTCATGATAAATCATGGGGCGTTGCCATGACGATGCGAGTTTGACACCCTGGCATATATGAAATTTGATTGCAGCTGATAGAAATTGAAAACTCAGCCTTGGTAGCATTATGAGATGAAAATTCATTTCAACTGTCTTTGCTTTTATTTTTAACAAGACCCTGATGGATAAAAAACAAAAACAAGTAAAGGCCAATAGTTGTGTTTTTGTTTAATTCTCACTTTCTCCCTGTAAAGCAAGGGTCTTCAAACTTGGCAAGTTTAAGATGTGTGGATTTCAATTCCCAGAATTCCTGAGCTAACATGACTCTGGGAGTTGAAGTCCCCAAGTCTTAAAGCTGTCAAGTTTGAAGAGCCTTGCTGTAAAGGAATAGCTTCTGAATTTAATTCAAGGCCATCATCTGAGTCAGCCAGATGTTCCTGATTTCACTAAGTAGATACCTGACCAGCCACTCTTTGAATCACTTGAAACTGATATTTTTTTAATCATTCAATTTAACCTCCAGTTACTATGTTAGCTTTACTATTCCATTTGAGGATGGGGTGGTGGTGGTGGTGAAATCTGAGCTTGAGGTCAAGAAAATGGAGGCAGGAAGACTATTATTGGATCCAGAGCGCTTCTCTTCCATCTCTTCTGACCTTCAACTTTAATTGCCTTGCTGTGATATGAATGGCATATTTAGGGAAACGGAAAATATTCCCCACATTTCTGCCAGCTGTCAGTTACTTGTAATGCATATGAAATAGTCTGGAGACTTATTTAATAAACTACCTAGTTACATCTGTATCACAAATAGAGTTTGTGTTACGTTATAATTCAAAAAGGTTAAGCTGGTAACTGGTATGGTGAAATTGAAACCACACTGGCTCTCCAGAACTTACTGTATAATAGCTTAGCAGCTTGATAGAGCCAAGCCATTCTTTAAGAGTTCCACTTCTTGATTTGATATTTATTTTGGGGTCCGTCCGTCCCCCACTCAGTTTGGGATGAGTAGTGCTATTTTTTTCCAGACCCCACCAATATTAACCTTACCCACTGCTACATTCAAACCAAACATTATGGCCAGCCACTTAAAGGTCGCATCTTTTTTATTTCAACTAATTGCAGGCTGTGAACCACCTTTCAAAATGAATACCCTGTATAAAGTAATTTAAAGTTATATGAGCAATTGTAATTAAAAGCACAATATACATTATTTTAAAATAACAGATATCTAGGATCCTTCTCTCAGGGAAGCTGGTACAAATGGTTGGCTATGGGAACCAGGAAAACCAGCTCCTTTGGTGGTGATGGCTAATGGATTTTCCCATCTTTAGTGTTCCTCTTTCTAAAGTTACGGGAAAAAGATTGACCACTTAAGTATCTTTTGAGGTAAGGTTTAGTTTGTTCAAAGGAGATAAGGATTGCAATTTAGATGGACTATATTTCTAAGTGATAAATCCATTATCTTTTTTTTTTTTTTAATAAAAGGACCTCCGCCATTTTTCCTGAGAAATATTCAGTATCCACATGAAACTCTTACAGTAAAATAGTGTCAATACTTTGCAAAAAGAAAGAAAAGAAAGAAAAAGGGGCATATACATTTTCATGGAAGCAGTTATACTTTCGCCTGAACTACTTAGTAAACCTAAACACCAAAATAAAAACAGAATAAAACAAAATTTGTCACTGATTCAAAACCAAAATAGAAAAGAAATACAAGCAGATCTGAGTATCCACTAAATTCCAAACTTTGTAATCGGTGGAATCTAATTTCGGACCTCCCTTTACGATTCCAGGGTTAAGGCATTTATTACAAAAAACAATGCAGATCCAAATTAAAATGCACTGGGAAGTCACTTAAGGTTCTTTATCCACAATAGCTGTGTTGATTCAGCATTGTCACTGACTTGTGTGTCCACATTATTCCCCTTTGTCGTCTTACAATAGGATTGTTGTAATTCTTGCAAATTTCAGCTGCATTTAATAGCATTAAACTTCATCTGCAACAGCTTATTTATTTGATGGACTGTCTCACCACTGTCATGTTATATTACCTTTTCTTAAATTTTAAGAGGTCATTATTTTAATTTACATGCCTACCACATGGGTATTAGAATATAAATGTATTCTTTGTGCCCTTCCTGTGACCAAAACACTGATATTGCAATATTGGAAGGATAAATGTAATGACTCAATAGACTGAAGACCTGGTTAAATTTGCCATCTATGAGTAGTTTGTCTGTAGATGTAGAACTTTGTATAGTCAAGTATAATGAAACATGGAACTCAGTTTTACAAAATGGAGTTGTTTAAAGATGAATGATAGTTATATAAATGTATTAGAAATTAATATATGTGTGCTTGTGTATTAGATAAGTATCTATAGAATTGTAACTCTTATACTGCAATGATATACTTTGGTTTTTTTTCTGTTGGTATTTTTCCTTTTCACTTTTAAAAAATTGCTTTTTATGTAGCTTTTATTTTGAGAATCTATGTATCTCTATTATAATTATAACTTTTATTTTTTGTTATTTTTAAAAGCAATAATAAATAAATATTAGATCGTTGCTATGACAAGTGTGCTGGCTGCTGGTGTTTTTTCTGATAGAATACTTGATGCTTGGAGATATCTACAAAGCCCTATATAATTTAGTGTTTAGTACATTATCTGCCTAAGTTGAGTGACCAGAGAATACCTGTGGAAGGTTCCCCTTCTTTGAAACAGTTTCCCATTTAGAAACAAAAGTAGCCCTATTCTTAAGATGTTCCAAAAGATAGTGAAACCTGGCTCTCTGCAAAGTTTTTTCTGGAGGTTACTATATGCAACAATCATCATGGCTCTATGATTACTTTGCATCATTATTGTACTGTTTATATCACTTTGTTACTGTGTCTGCATTTTGTCCAAAGTCCTTCAGGATTAGTTTGTAAGATTTATAAGTCTTATAAATGACAAAAGGGGTTTCTTTAAATGTTATACCATTGTTTGTAATCATGGTCTGCTGAACAAACTATATTAACCAGCTACATATAATATCAGAGTCGTATACCTCCATATATAAATTAATGCAGTTTTCAAACATATACCTAGTTGATTTGGAAAGACAGACCATCTCTACTTGACTGGACATTTACAGTAGAATTTTATTTATGTGTAAAATTTATTAGCTGCCCATCTTACCACATGGTAACTCTGGGCAACTTACAATATTAAAATATAAAACTGTTTAAAAATCCAAAGATATAAATACAATATTATAGAAATCAACCTCTCTAAAATGATGGGGAGGGAGAGAATATGATGAGAAGGGGAGGTGGTGGGATCTGTTGTTAATCTATCAACTACCACCACCATTGAAAACCCCTCAGTTGGAGCTCCACGTTAACTGGCTGAGCCAGATCTTTAAGTTCTTATGGAAGGGGTGGGTGTGTTTGGAGCCATCGTCACTTGGGGTGGATGTAAGGTATTCCAAAGGGCAACTGCAACTGGAGAGAGAGCTTTTCTCTTGGACCTCAATGGCCTGAATACCCTGGCCGATAGAGCCCATGGCATGCCTCCTCTGCCAGCACAGCTGGGTCAGGCCAATTCCAGTGAGATCAGATGTCTCTCAAATAGCTTGGACCCATGCCAGGAAGGGCTTTAAAGGCTATTACCAGCATCTTGGATTTCACCTAGAAGTAAACTGATAGCAGGGCAGCTCATGGAACAGTGGGGTTACATGGTCCATCCTTGGGGCCCCCAAAACTGCCTACTCCACTGCACTCTGCACCAGCTGCAGCTTCTGAATGCTCTTCAAGAATCAAAGATTTCCAGAAATGTATCTCTCAATCCATCTGCAACCACTGAGTATTATGACAAATGCTTGGAAGATGCTTTAAGAGTTCACTAATCTTCAATAAATCTAGCATACCACTGTGTGTAGTCTTAAATGGGAAGATTCTCTTTAGTTAAGACATAGCTCTGAATGACAATATTGGTTCAGAATGGTAAAAAATCAGTGGTGGGATTCAAAAAAATTTACTACCAGTTCTGTGGGTATGGCTTGGTGGGCATGGCGTGGCTTGGTGGGCGTGGTTTGGCGGGCTTGGCAGGGGAAGGATACTGTAAAATCTCCATTCCCTTCTCACTCCAGGGGAAGGATACTGCAAAATCCTCATTCCTTCCTCACCCCACTAACCTGCTTTCCAGCTCTGTTCCCCTGTGCAGGGCAACAAAAGAAGAGACAGCCAAACAGCTGGAACTCAGGGGGCAGAGAATAGATGGGGGCGGGACCAGTCAGGTGGTATTTGCCGGTTCTCAGAACCACTCAAAATTTCCACTACTGGTTCTCCAGAACTGGTCAGAACCTGCTGAATACCACCTCAGGTAGAAATCGTTTAAATAAAGAGACATGGAAGAATATTTCAGAATAATCCCATATAAGATTAAGGATAGACCACTTGATATTTAAGCTTTTCAATTTGTGGGATTGGGTCCAGAATATCTGGCACAGCCCACTTTGCCTTCTAATTTCTGATGAACTTTTGTTGAAATTTATAAAGCTGCATGCATGGGTTAGCAATACATATATAGATTATATAATATGCAAAACATTGAAAGCAAGTTTCAAGCTGGAGTGTAGCAATAGTAATAACAATAATGAAGAGAATATCCAATTCATTATGCACTCAAAATATTACAATGATCTCAGGATGTCATAGATTATTCCTTAAATTTAAAATGTGTAGAAAGAAAAAGAGACACAGCAGAAAATATAAGAAAAAATACAACAAAAGAAGAGCTACAAAGCTTCGGGAACTTTGCAATGCTAAATGCATCTGTCCTGATTCAGACAAGTCATAGAAGAAATGTAAGGGGGGCGTGGGGGGGGGGGAAGTACTGAGAAAATACCAGCGAAAATGCTGGAGTGAAATTGGACTACAATTCCCAGCTGGCAATGCGGCCAGTCTCCCCGCCTTTGCACCTGCTGGAGGAGAGGCTTTGTCTAGACTAGGGAAACATAAGGAAGAAAAGAAAAAGAAAAGTTTGTCAGTGTTTCTTCTGGGCTGCATGTGCCGGTTGGTCTTAAAAACACGAAAAAAAAAAGGGGGAGAACAAGAAAAGTTCAGGTAAACAGATTTGGCTGCAGTTGCATAAATGACAAAACAAGTAACTTGAGACTTCTGCTTGGGGACGAGGGATCGGGGAGGGATGCTTTTTAAAAGCGGGGAAAAGAGTCCATTGCATTCACATTTTGCGGAATTCATGCGATCTCGAGTCCCTTTCATGTCGCCTTTTGCATTTTAAGTACGATGTCTCCTTTGAGTAGCTTTCAAAGGGGGACAGAAATGGTTACAGCTTTTTGAACTATAACTCTATCGGAAACCGTAAGATTCCTGCTTTTAGGGCAATTATTTTCGAGGGGGAGGAGAAAGTGTGACGGCTTCTTTTTTTATTTGGTATGGCTTTTGGGCTCGGTTATGGATATCCCTTCAACTTCACCAATTTTTCTTTGCAGAAGAAGAGAAGGCTGGGTGGGAGACGGAATATATAAACCTGAAAGGTTCAGCAGCGGTTTGGCTACCAAGCCTAAAGACATCATCCTTCTCTTCCCCATCTCCCAGCGCTTCGGATTAGCCTTTGTACTTCTCCCTCTTGTCCCGCGGAGAAATGGGCGCCAATAAAAACGGGAATGGATGGGTTCCTCCCCCCACCCCCAAGGCTCCAAACTAAAATGCTGCCTTGGTTTTCATTTGTCTCTTTCTACTTTTGAAAGAAGTCCAAGAAAGTGCTGGCCCTGCTTTGCGTTCGCTGTTTTAGCTAAAAGTTAAATTAGCCAGGGCTTAGTTAATAGCTTTTCATGGTTCATCAGCGACATTCATAAATAAATTATCTGAGAAATATAGGCAGGCTTGCATGGCAGAAGATGTTTCTCCAATGGTGGTACAAGAGGACTTAGTTAACTTTTGGTGGATTTTGGTGGTCTCTCTCTGCCTTAGCCAGCAACAGCTGAATCTGTGCTATTTGAGTCAGACTGAAAGAGAAAGTATAGAGTAGCATTTTACAAACCCCACAAAATAGTCATATCATTTGAATTTGCCCTGCCTGTATTCAAAGTGATGTTCTATGGAAAATTGTTTCCAATTCAACAAATAAGCAATGAAAATTTTAAACATGTTTATATGTAGCTTAATAGATTTTTCCACTAAAGGATAAAAAAACCTTATAATATAACTGTATAAAAATCACAACGTAGTTATAAAAAAACAAAATGTTTTAAAAAAACCATAGATTAAAATATTTCTATTTCCCATTCTGTTTCAGCATAGCTAGAACTAGGTTTGTGTAATTCTATTGTATCAATGTTCTCTTATTTTTTTTAGTCTATACTGTTTTCCTCTGATGAAATCTTCCTTTTCTCTGCTTTGCAAGCACAAAATTAGCATCATTTAATTTCCAACTGCATCGGTACAACCACTAGTCTCAGTTGTACATGTGCCATCCTTCCTGCATTAGGTGGATTTTGGACTGCATTAATGACAACGTGGAATCAATTTTCAATGTACATTAAATCTAATATTGCATTATTTATATTTGGACCAATTGTGATCTACTTGTAGTAAATCACAAATCATTATTGCGAGCTGCCCAGAATTGTTTAAGATGGCCAGCTATATAAATATCTTATACATTCATCAAACGCAGTTCATGTTAATCTGGATTTTGCAGGACACATGTGATGTTACTGAAACATATCTGGAGTCCTGAGACTTTCTGGTTTGTTTCTAGCCACTGGGGATGCCAGAGAATTGCATTACTGCAGTTAGGAAAACTAACAGAAATTCAGGTTGTGTTTTTAGGATTAACAAAACTATTATGGGATACATTTTGCAGATGAAGGTCCAGTTTATCAAATTGATAGAAAGATACAATAGCAACCTGGTTTGTACAAACTCAGAATCATAGTTAAGTTAGATCTTCAGCGGACATGGTGGGCTTTCAATGCACTATACAATCTATTGCCCTATTTTTCATGTTTGTTAGTAACTGGATAAGCGTATTTTCCCACTCATCCTTTATCCCATTATTTTGCTCCAAGTTTTGCTCTGGGTGTAATCAACTTGCTAATAAATATTAGGTTACTGAGGTTGGCACTGAGACACAGTAAATTTGGTTAAGATGATCGAGCCAGGCACTTACTGAAACATCCTTAGGCTTAGTATCTTCTTCAAAAAGTTAAATTTTGATTGCAGAAGAAAAATCAGCAATCTGGATTCCCCCAGGCGTGTTGAACCCTCAACTCCTTTCAACCTGCAGGCATTCATGGCTAATGGGAATGGACTGTGGGAAATGGAGTCTGAAATATCTGCCTGTAAATCTGCAAGAGTTGAAAAGACATAACAGCTATTTCAGTTGCTTCAATTGAATGATGGTATGAAATCTTATATTAGCACGTCCCTCAAGAGTATGGAGTACTGATTGATTGAAATTTCCTTCACAATTCTGGTAGCCTTTTGTGTTTAACTCATAGT